TAAATAAATAAATAAATAAATAAATAAATAATTTTTACTCACTGGGGGAAAAAAATGAAAAAAAGATTTGCCTGTATACCTTTCCCCAAATGTTCTTGGGGAAGCCTAGGGTAAGTCCACAATGACAACAGTTTGGATCCAAACATTTGTTTCTCAAACCAGACCCTTTCTCCACTTGCATATAAAAGACAAAAGAGTTAGTGAAAATAGCCCAGGAAAGGAAGTTCCTGCGACACTAGACTGGAAGCCTATGAAAACAAGGACTATGTGTGTGTGGTTCCCTATTGCATTCCCAGTACCTAGAACAGTGAATTCCTGGTACATGGTCAGAGGTCAGGAGATATTTGTTGAACGGCTATCATTTTCACCCCAACCGAAAGGCCAAGTGTCATCATTTTTCTAGTTCTCTTTAGGTGAAGTTAAGGAGCTCTGGTGGTGCTGTGGTTAAAGCATTGGGCTGCTAACCAAAAGGTTGATGGTTCAAACCCACCAGCTGATCTGTGGGAGGAAGATGAGGCAGTCTCCTTCTATAGTGATTTATAGCCTTGAAACCCTATGGGGCATTTCTGCTCTGTCCTATCAGGTCACTCTGACTCAGAATCAACTTTATGACAGTGGGTTTTTGGGTTTAGTGAAGTTGATGTGTTCCTTACTCTTTAAGCCATATGGCCCCTATTTCCTGTTCCAAAAAGACACGAAAGCATTTCTTCTGCCTGACTGACTGTTGTTGTTGTTGTTGTTGTTATTTGCCATCAAGTTGGCCCCGACTCATAGCGACCCCTCCTTGGGTTTCCGAGGCAGTATCACTACGGAAGTAGGATTGCCCAACCTTCCTTCCGAGGAGCTGACTGACTAGTGAGTGGGAATATTCAGCTGGATTAGGAAAACAAAGCTGTGTAAGCTTTGTTTACTCCAAGTTCACTGACTGTGGTTGCCTCAGCCCCTCTCAAGAAACTACAGGCCAAAGTTAACAGTGGAGGAATGCAATCACAAAACAAGTTTCCTCATTGGCACACAATGGAGTAATCCTGAGGAAGAACATTTCTTAATATTGACACTGCTCATCCATTGAGAGCCACAAGTGGAGTGGAGTGGATGGCAAATAACTGGAAGTGGTGGGTTTTGTTGGGATGGAGCAACGTTCAGGAAAACTCTAACAGTCCTCTTTTGGCTTTTTTCGGTCTATTTCACTGTCAACTTATGACTAGCCTTCTAGCATAAACTACCTCTCTCTAACTACTTGGCATGGAGAATATGCCAATGAGTTGCGTGTTAACAAACTCGAGATGTTTAGTAGGAAAGATAATTTGGGAAAAAGATGATTTTTCTAAAACTAATCTTAACTCCATTTAGTACTTTCTCATTAGTAATGTATATGAATTTAATCTATTTTTTAATTCCTTTTTCTATTTTTATTTGTGCCATATCTTTCTCATGTAATATATGTTCTGTTCCTACAATTCATACCTACGTCCTTCTAGGGTACAGAATCTGGTTTGATAGTTTCTCATAGCATACTATGGTGTGAGGTGTTATTAATTATTAATATGACAAAGCACTGTACACAGTAAATGCCATGATGACATATTTAGCTTAGTGACCAACTGGAAATCCTTCAGGCATTATCTACCAGCTTCCTGGAATGTGAGATGGGGATTTAACTCTCTTTCAACCTTTTCCTCCCCCTGTACCCCTTCATTTTCACAGTAGCTACATGCTATCTTTGCCAATAGAAACATCTATTTTGTAGGACCCAGAAAATGGATCTGAGGTTTTGGACATGATAGGGAGAATCGCTGGACCAAATGACCCCCACTCTTACCAATGACTGAAAACAAAGTCCTGACTGCTGCTTCAATTATCTCAAGACGTGGATAATTGTGGTTCAGTTGGTGGTTCTTCCCCTTTTGGTGAAAGTACTTAAGTGGGTATTTCACAGACCACCAAAGTCCAACTATCAAGAAGAAACTCCCTGGGACAGCATGGCCCTTGAAGTTTGCCATTAGGGTTCCACGACACCTAAAAATTAGGAGACAGCTGTTAAGTGTCTGAATGAAGAAATATATAAATGTATATTTTGACAGAAAACATGATTAAGGATTTCAAATCATAAACCACACTAAGGGGGATCAAGTCATTCTTATAAAAAATAAGCCTGTGTGTGTGTATGTTACCATTACTGAAGTCATGTCTATAAGTGAGCTGTGTGACCAAGAGGATACCACTGTGCCTACAGACTTGAAAAAGGTGAGTCAATTAAAAGGAATGGGGGATTAAAAAATCAGATTATAGGTAAATATTTACGTAATGTAGAAAAGCCTTCCTAAGCATAAAAATGAGAGGAAACTAGAAAAGAAGAACATTCAAGTACATGATACATAAGCATTTTATACATTAAAACATTATAAGGCAAATAACAGTTGAGGAAAACGTTGTTGTTGTTGTTGTTAGGTGCCTCGAGTTGCTTGCAACTCATAGCAACCCCATGCACAGCAGAACAAAACATCGCCTGATCCCGTGCCAGCTCCACGATCCTTGCTATACTTGAGCCCATTGTCTCAGGCACTGTGTCAATCTATCTCGACGAAGGCCTTCCCCTCTTTTGTCGACCCTCCACCTTACCAAGCATGACATCCTTCTCCAGGGAATGGTCCCTTCTTACAACATGACCAAAATAGGTGAGACGAAGTCTGGCCATTCTTGCTTCCAAGGAGCATTCTGGCTGCACTTCCTCCAGGACAGATCTATTAGTTCCTTTAGCAGTCCATGGTACTTTCAGCATTCTTTGCCAGCACCACAACTCAAAAGCATCAACTCTTCTTCGGTCTTCCTTATTCATTGTCCAGCTCTCTCATGCATATGAGGCTATTGGAAATATCATGGCCTGTGTCAGGTGCACCTTAGTCCTCAAGGAGACATCCTTGCTCCTCAGCACTTGAAACAGTTCCTTCGCAGCTGACATACCCAGTGCTACACGTGGTCTAATGTCCTGACTACTGCTTCCATTGGCCTCGACCAAGCAATGTGAATTCTTTGACAGCCTCAATCTGTTCTCCATTTATCGTGATGCTGTCTATTGGTCCAGTTGTGAGTATTTTTGTCTTCTTTATATTGAGATGTAATCCATACTGCAGACTGTGTTCTTCAACCTTCATCAGTAAGTGCCTCAAGTCATCCTCACTTTCAGCAAGCAAAGTTGTATCATCAGCATATTTCAGTTTGAAAATGTAGCATCTATGAAAAATGGTTAATAGCTCATAATCAAACCAAACCCCCTGGCATTGAGATGATTCTGACTCGTAGCAACACTATAGCACAGAATAGAATGGCCTATAGGGTTTCCAGGGCTACAAATCTTTATGGATGCAAACTGCCTCATCTTTTTCCCATCGAGTGGATGGAGGGTTCGAATCACTGACCTTTTGGTTAGCAGCCCAATGTTTTAATCGCAGCACCACCAGAGCTCCTTTAATAGAGCACTTGAGAACTAATGAGAAAGACCATAGAAAAATGGGCAGAAGACAGGAACAGATGATTCACAAAATAATACAATAAATCTTATGAAATTAAAACCATGCAAATTAAAACTATTATTTTTCACACAATTTGAAGTTAATTTGAAAAAGAGTTTTGGTGTGCTTATAGTTAAAATAGTACTAAAGGCTCATATAGATACAGGTCAAATATAGGTAATATGATCTATATTTTGTAAAATTAATATAAAAACCTTATTTTAAAAATAGTATTTACAGTAGCATGTGAGACTACAAGGTGCAAATTAGGAGTGTTAGAATTTATTCAGACTTATGGTCTGGGTGGTGACCAGAGATGCAGGGTAAGAGGAAACCAGCAGTTGATCCAGAAAATACAATATAGAAACATGAAGTGCTGGTAGTATGCATAGCCTGTTTCCATCCTGGCTCACTCCCGCACCTCTGTGACTGGCTAGTTTGACTGTGAGGGCTGTCCGTGTCTTCCACACTTACAGGTGAGATTCCCACTATCCATTAAGAACTTCCATAAACTTTCTTTATGAGCCCATTACTGTAAAAAGAGAAGAGTTTACTTGGGAAAGGGAACTCACCTAGTAGGTTACCGGGATGGGGAAGGGAGGGGAGGGATTAATTTTGGGCTAGTTGGGGCCTACATGCTGACATGGGCTGGGGAGGGATATACGGGAAGGATATATGACTACCCTAATAACATTAGGAAATGGGAGGACACCAAATTGTGCACATTAAGAGATAGACGATAGATGCTAATATCAGCCAATGTGTCCACAATACCGCATTGCCATTAACACCAAACACTAGGCTATACAGATAAACACATAAACACCTGAGATGATCAGAAGGGGGTCAGTGAACAGAAGTATACCCTAGACCAAGGATAGATTCAGCTGAGACTAATCTTGCACAGACACCGGTGATACAAAATACCTGCAGTCCTTATAGAAACAATAGAACACAGACACAAAATAATCCCTCACAGACAACCAGACACTATGGGAGAAAGATCCAATAGATATACTGGACCATAGTACTGGGGGACACCACACTCAATTGGCACAATAAAATAAAATCGTTGCTCCACATCCTACATTGGTGAGTAGGAACTGGGGTCTTAAAAGCTTTCAAGCAACCATCTAAAATGCAACTAACAATCTCCTACCATCGGAAGTGAAGAAGAACGCAAAAAAAAAAAAAAAAGGGGGGGGGCATTTAGAAACAATCATCCCTAGGACACAATGGCCCTTGAGACCAGAAGAACTTACCAATGCCAACCACTCAGGAAAGGATCAAATTGGGAGATCCTGGATAGAGTGGGAGAGAAAATGTGGAACAAAATCCAAAAACTCAATAATGACCAAAATTACTGGTCAGATGAAATCTGGTGAGATTCCCAATACTATGGCCCTGAAATACATTCTGTGCCTGGAATAAAACTCACCCCCAGGGGCAGGATCTCAGCCCAATAGTTAACAAGATGTACATGCAGACCACTCAACCAAGGATGACGCACCCACATACTTTATGGGAATATATCCCTTAGAGCAATAGACCTTGGGACACTAGAGAACCAACATTCAAATTGAGAAAATGCAGGACAAACAGGAGTGCATAAATATGAGGGGCACAGGGGGAGGGTTACAAGGTAGGGAGGGGAGGAGACTGGGTTAGGGTTGGACATGGTGAATGGGGAATTAAACTAAATGTACGCGTTATGTTGAATGTAAAACAAGCTCTGAAAAAAAATGCTAATACATAATTAAATAAAATAGTAGTGAAAGGTGTATAGTGAAAAGCAGCATCCTCATGCCTCAACCTTGCTTACTCTCTAGAAAAACCATTTTCAAATTTTCTAGTTAATTTGTGCATGCTGCCTTTTGCTAATTTATCATTTTAAGGCATTATGTGCCAACTTCCTGGAATGAGAGATGAAGATTTAGCTCTCTTACAACCTCTCCCTCCCTTGTACCCTTTCATTTTCTTAGTAGCAATATTACATTCTTAGTTAAATCATAAATGTTATGGATTGAATTGTGTCTCCTCAAAATATGTGTCAACTTGTCTGGGCCATGATTCTCAGTGGTTTGCAAGTTAGGAAATGATGCAATCATTCCCCATGATGTGATCTGATGTTATCAGCCAATCACATAGTTTAAGGGGTTTGGGGTGGGATGCAGCACCCTTTCTCAAGTCACAGCCCTCATCTGATGTAAGGGGAGTTTCCCTGGGATGTGGCTTGCATTACCTTTTATGTTATAAGAGATAAATGGAGAGGGAAGCGAGCAGAAAGAGCGGAACCTGCTGCCACTAAGAAAGAATAGCTGGGAGCAGCGCACGTCCTTTGAACCTGGGGTCCCCGCACTGACAACCTCCTGGACCCAGGGGAAGATCAATGCCAAGTCACATGGAAAGCTCCAAGGAATGCTAGGTCCACAGATACTGAAAGGAGACGAAAACCCTCTCCCAGAGCTGACAGGAAGAAGCAGCATTCCCCTAAATCTGGCACCTTGAATTTGGAGTTCTAGCCTCCTAAATTGTGAGATAATAAATTTCTGTTTGTCAAAGCCATCAACTTATGGTATTTCTGTTATGGCGGCACCAGATAACTAAGACAAAGACCCTTCATTTTAGTCTAGTCCTTGGCTATCTCTTTGATCTCTCCTACTATTCTTCCCCTGGCTTAATTTGCTCTGGCTACATTGGGTTTTTCTATTCCTTGAAAGAGTTCATCACAATTGACTCCTGCTTCAGGGACTTGCAGTATATGGTCTTTCATTGTAGAACTGTATTTCCACATAGAGCCAACAGTTCTTCACTTCACATAAGTTTCTGTTCAAATGTTATTTTTCCCCTGATTATGTCAAATAGCAGACATGATCCACTTTTCAATCCAGGTATACTTCTAAATTTTCTTTAAAATATGAATCACTATCTGATTTGCAGACTTCTTTTCTTTTCTTTTTTCTTAGCATCTCTTCTTCTACTAGAACGTAAATCCTTGAAAGCAGGGATTTGTTCTATTTTGTTATTACAATTTGCTCAGTGCTTACAACAGGGCTTGTCACATAGTAAGCACTCAATAAGTATTTGTGGAATGAATGAATGCTGATCCAAACAGACAAAGGATGTAGATTAGGGTAAATGATTAAGAACAAGGAATACAAGAAAAAGTAGGTCAAACCTCTTACTGAAATTATGTTCCTTTTCCAACGACCCACTAGGTATGAAATCAAACAGTTGCCTAACCTCCAGCCTTCTTGGTTGCCAACTTTAACTCAAAGCTATTATATTTCCAAAACATTTAATCCTCCTTTCACACTCCCTTCATATCCCATGTGATATCAAAAAAAGTAAGTACATTAAAATAAGAAAGTTGAAAATTTGTCTTTGTGAAAACATTTTCTGATTTTTGTTTTCATAATTGTGGTTTTTTTCTTAGATTGGAAGATTTTATAGTGTAATGAACACACCATCCAGGGTATATTAGGGATTTC